TGTTGTGTTTTTCCAGTAATAAGTTCAAGAGTTTAGACTCTTAGGGGTTCAATGACCCTTGTCATTGAGAGAACTTGGATGCAGACCACTTTACAATCTAGTGACTCTAGGTTCTTGTATTTGCTAGATACCAATGAACTTGAAACTTTTTTCTCATTTCCCTAGTTTTTTTTTTTTTCATTTCTTTTAGGCTTTATATTTGTTGAGAAATAATGACAGAAAGTGTGAGGGGTTCCATTCAAGAACTGTGACTCTGCCAAAAACTCTGGTTAAGTGTCTGGGTTGGTATTTTAATAATAGAAATGAATGATTAGCTAATCAGTGTGGAAGTTTTATGAATCAAACATTTCACTTATGAATTAAGCATTTCACTACTGTCATCTTCAAACAGATTATAATCTAACTCGGACTTCCTCCCAACTCTTTTTGTGATAGAGAGATTTTGATAGAAAAATAGTCCCTGGTTATCCCTAATCCCTTTCCTCAAGTCCTCATATAATCTGCTTTGAGTGTTTGTAGGACCTGTGACTTGCTTGTAACCAATAGAATATGGCAAAGGTGACAAGGTATCATTTCTGTGCCTACGTTGTATAAGATCTGGCTTTGTTGAAGCAAGCTTCCTTATTAGACAGGCCTACGTGGCAAAGAACTGAAGGTGATCTCCAGCCAGCAATTAGCCAGGAACTCAGTGTGGCCTCTCCTAGCCAATGTAAGCAAGAAACTGAGTTCTTCAGTCCAACAGCCCACAAGGAGCTAACTGAACTTGCCAACAACCATGTGAACTTGAACGTGTCCCTGCCCAGTCAAGATTCAAATGAGATTCTTGCCCTCACAACACCTTCATTACAGACTTGCAGAGGACTGAGCTAAGCTGTATCTAGACTCCTGACCTACAGAAATTTCAAAATGACAATCTTATGTTGTTTTAAGCCACTATATTTATGGTAACTTATGCATTGACAGAGAAAGCTACATACGTGTTAAGAACTGCTTTGGCCGTTCTTCACTGTGTTATTGTTTCTAATACCTAATGGGCACAGAAACATTGCCAGGCAGAGTAACATTTACTTCTGCCCCTTGTGATATGTCATGACTCTTGAAATTTTGATTCCTTGAGAACATCTTTGTGTGTAATCTAAAATGCCTAAAACACATGTGGATAAATTGCAGAAACCAAATAATGATTTAATTATATATAAAAGTTTAATAGAAAAGTAGTAATACACATTCAGCAAATTATGTACATCATTAGTGTACTTCTCAATGATTTATCACATAAACTGCAGCTCAGACAATGATATAGATTAGGGATTGGCAAGTTTTTCCCCATTGTTTCATTTCCTGTAAGCAGCTGATAGTAACTTTTTTCATTTATTGAAAGGTAGAGTTACAGAGAGATAGAGATAGAGATAGAGATAGAGATAGAGATAGAGATAGATAAATAGGTAGGTAGGTAGGTAGATAGATAGATAGATAGATAGATAGGTAGATCGGTCTTTCATTTGCTGGTTCACTCCCCAAATGGCTGCAATGGCTGATGCTGAGCCGATCTGAAGCCAGGAGCCAGGAGCTTCTTCCAGGTCTTCCACGTTGGTACAGGGGCCCAAGGACTTGGGCCATCTTCTACTGCTTTCCCAGGCCATCAGCAGGGAGTGGATCAGAAGTAGATCAGTCAGGACTTGAACTGGTGCCCATGTGGGATGCTGGTACTACAGGCAGTGGCTTTATCCACTACACCACACCACTGACCCCAACAAATATTTTAGACTTTTTTCCGTCATCCAGTTCTCAGTCTTAACCATTTAGCATATATATTCTAGCATGCTAATAGCTCTAGACAATACTGGATCACATGTCTGGGTTCTAATTATGCTTCATTTATGAAACAGTGGCAGGCCAATTTTGGCTGTCTATTGGACCATATTTGTCAATCTTGATATAAAACATTGCTAGATATCCTCTTCTATCCCACCCCAGTGACATCCCCTACTTCTACACTAAGCATAACTGATTTATAACACCCTAGATTTGTTTTACCTACAATTCGAATCTCTACTATAGTGAAGTAAAAGCATATAAACTGAATAATACAATAACTATGCTTTTGTGTCTGGCCCTTTTCACATTATGCATGTGAGATTTATCTACATTGTATATTGCTCATTTTAATTCTTTTAATTATATAAATATACCCAAACTGTAAATTCCTCTTTTCCTGGGAAATTCAGTTGTGTTCAGGTTTTGGTTACAAACAAATATGTTGTTATAAAAGCTATTATACATGTCTTTTGGAGTGCAAAGATATGCATTTCTACTTGTTATGTGAAAATTGGTGTATTGGAATGAAATTGGTGTATGAATTTTGAATTACTACCAGAGCTTTCTAACAGAGTTTTATAGGGGTGGGTTTTGTGGTATAGTTGGTTAAACTGCTGCTTGCAACATCCACAATCCATATCAGAGTGCTTGTTAGAGTTCTAGACACTGCTTCTGATCCAGCTTACTGTTAATGCATCCTGTGGGCTACTAGTCCCTCTGATGAGTTTTTGCCCTATTTATTGAAGGAATATTTTTAAAATTAAAATTTGCACTTATATTTATTATTTTTTCTGCAATTTAATTTTTTCTTTCAAGTTTTGGAGATGGCTACTTCAAAAGAGTTGTTTTCAGTGTTTCCTCTATTTACCAATATATATATGTCTAGAAACTTCTCTAGCAGCTTAGCTTTAGTTGAATTTCCAAATGTTTAATATGCTGGAGAATAAATGGCGAGGAGAGCAAATATGTAAGGACTTTATCACAGAATAGAAACAGAAAATTGTAAGAACTCATCTGTAGAAGACAAAAGTGGGAAAGACATGAAAGATCCTACTAGATCCTATACTCACACTTGTATGAGTAATTAATATTATAGTTCTACTAGCTTATTGTTTCTCTACTTACCTTGATTTCTTCAAATTTGCTGCTATTGTTGGGTAAATTTAACAAATGTGAAGTTAATACTCACAGAAAACTCAGAAATGCTATGCTGCTCTTAAATTCATTGTGCTGTAAAGTGTGAAATTTCATATAATCTGTTAAATGAGGTACATGCATATCCTTCTTTCAGGGGAATATTTAATACTCATGCTCCGATTTTGCCCTTTACCTATCTTAATGTTTCTTATGTTGGAAGATCTTTTATGAGGGGAGTGGTGAAGGGTATATGGAAATTGGATATTGTAGGAGTGACAAGAAATCACTAAATTTTACTACCATCTCCTTCTTCTTTTTTGTTTTTATTTTTTATTTTTATTTTTGACAGGCAGAGTGGACAGTGAGAGAGAGAGACAGAGAGATAGGTCTTCCTTTGCCGTTGGTTCACCCTCCAATGGCCGCCGTGGCCGGCGCACCGTGCTGATCTGAAGCCAGGAGCCAAGTACTTATCCTGCTCTCCCATGGGGTACAGGGCCCAAGTACTTGGGCCATCCTCCACTGCACTCCCTGGTCACAGCAGAGAGCTGGCTTGGTAGAGGGGCAACCGGGACAGAATCTGGCACCCCGACCGGGACTAGAACCCGCTGTGCCGGCGCCGCAAGGCGGAGGATTAGCCTAGTGAGCCGCGGCACCGGCCTCCTTCTTCTTTTTTGAACTCTTAGAATATTTTGATCTTTATTATCTTTCCTTGAGAATCTAAGTATCCAAGCTTGTACTAGAAATCTCAGCATCCTACTTGAAGTCCAAGGACAATAGATCATATCAGAACTATGGAATGAGGAATTTATCATAAGATAATAAGGGAATGAAGGTTTATCATAAGATTTATTTATCATAAGATAAATAATAAGGGAATGAAGGTTACTAGAAGGTAGCCCAAACTAACAACAGAGGAATAATAGAAGACCTAATATTTCTTATATTGCCTTAAATCAGAATAATAAAGGGAGAATGTTTTTCTCCAGAATAAAACAAATATCACTTAAGAGGGAATCTAAGAAAGCTGATAAATTTGTTGATCCTTTGCTTCTTTTAAGCAACTATTGGTTTTCCTGGAACAAAGATTCTTTTACAATCTCACATATAACCTATCATCTTGTTTCTCTTATGATATACTACTCTTTTTCTTATGTCACTAACCATGGCACTTCCTTGAGGAATCAGGCCCCATCATTCTTCATTGAACTTATAGTTCTGTATCCTGAGGGTAAGACCCTTTACATCTTTATTTTGCAAATGATATCTTTAAAATATGTGTTCATTTTATTTGAATGGCATGGAAGTGGAGAGAGAGTAAGAGGGGGAGAAGAGGAGAAGGGGAGAGGGAGACAGGGGGATAGAGAGAAAGGGTGGGAGAGAGAGAGAGAGAGAGAGAGAGAGAGAGAGAGAGACTATGTATGTACTAAAGCCAAGATGATCCAGGGAATAGAGAAGATGACAACAGCACCATTGTGAGATACACAGGTGCCAAATGGCCTTTGCCTCTCCTCCATCTGGTGGTTCATTCCCTAAATGCCCACAACAGTCATGGCTGGTCCAGGTGGAAGCCATTCTTACATGAGAGGCCGGAATTAAGTCCTAGAGCCATTACAACTGCCTCCCAGGATGCACATTAGCAAGAAGCTGCATGGGAAGTAGAATAGCTGGGACTTGAACCAGACACTACTATGGAATATACACATGCCAAGAGGCAATTTAAGACACTGTGCCAAATGCCTGCGTATACATCTTTGTTTTGTATTTTTCTCAGTCCAATTTATCACCTTCACTAAAATTGATTACATCACAAATTAGTTTATATACATTCTTGAGTGTCCCTGTAGCCTCTTGGACATTGTTCTGTAATAATTTTTCTTATTTGTTATTGTTAGTATTTCATTTTGTGCCACTGCTAATAGATTATATAAACTATTTTAGAGAGCAGGAGTCTTGTTATATGCCCTTGTGTTACCATCTATAAGCAGATGCCTTATGTTATTCAATAAAATGTGGCAGGAAGGAGGGAAGAGAGCAAAACAGCAAGACTATCTATGTTGCCGCATGGTCAGCCTACCTACTCTGTTTGGAAACAGCTTGAGGAAGGCCTTACGGATTTGCTTGGTCTTCACACTATATATTATGGGGTTCAGCACCGGAGGGAAGAGGAAATGGAGATTTGACATCAGTGTATGGACATATGGAGGAGCATTATGGCCAAATCGATGTACTAAAGCCAAAATGATCCAGGGAATGTAGAAGATGGCAACAGCACCAATGTGGGAGACACAGGTGCCAAAGGCTTTTTGCCTCTCTTCAGTGGAGGCAATGCTAAGGATAGACTTGATGATGAGCACATATGAGAGGAAAATACAGGGGATGTCAATACCTGATGTTAGAATGAGAGCAACTAAGCCACAGATGCTGTTAATCTTTGTACTTGAGCAGGAGCATTTAATCACATCAGGGTGATAGCAATAGGAGTGGGAAAGCACATTCGGACCACAGAAAGACAACCGCTTGAGGAGCAGGAGCAAGGGCATCAAGTTGATCAGCATTCGTACAAAAATCACCACCCCAGCTTTGATGATTCTAGAGTTAGTTAAAATCATAGCATATCTCAGGGGGTTGCAGATGGCAACAAAACGATCAAAAGCCATGGCCAAAAGCACAGAGGATTCCATGAGGGTGAAGCCATGCAGAAAGAACATCTGCACAATGCAACAGTCTAGGCTAATGATCCTGGCATTGAACCAAAAGACACCCAGTGTGGTGGGAAGGGAGGAAATAGTGATGCCCATGTCTGTGGCAGACAGCATGGAGAGGAAATAATACATGGGCTCGTGGAGGCTGGAGTCTGTCATCACGACGTAGAGAATGATGCTGTTCCCCATGAGTGCCATTACGCAGAGGCAGCAGAAGGGGATAGAAAGCCAAATGTGAAAAGCCTCTAGACCTGGGATGCCAGTCAAGAAGAAAGCTGGGGAAGTGGAGTTACCGGTGGGTAGCATGGTAATCTGAATGACATTGCACTCCCCTTCAGTGAGTCCTGAAAAGATACATTTCATTGAGTCAAAGCCCTTCTATGTCAGGCATTTTTCAGTTGTTCTAATTAATGTACATCATGTGGTTATTATAGCTGATTTAAAAGCAATTTTCATCTATCTTCATTGTACAATAAACAATTAGACATCCAGCCTTGTAAATTCATTGAACACAAGTAAAAGGCAGGATTCCTGCCTCGAAGCTTTTGCTTATCCTACTATTTCATGCCTAGCACATGCTTAAGATAGCAGGGCCAACTGAGGCAAGGCAAGAAAGATGTTTGCCTGGGGCAGGGAATAAAAACTGTGTGCCAGGAAACTCAGCAATTAGGTACGTAACTTTTTATTCACAACTTAAAAATGAAAATTAATGTAAAATATCTATGACAACAAAATGCTGGAATTCATGATAAAGACCAGAACTATGCCAAGCCATATTAGAGTCTGAGGAAAATGAAAAAAAATACATTGGGCTCTCTGTATATGTTTTCATGTATATTAAAATATTTTTCTGAAACACTAAAGTCCTTGAAAAAGTGTTGAACTATTGAAGAGTAATTGTGTTGAACTCACATCATTTTAAATTGAAATATTTTAAATTTAATAATACTAACTTATTAACAGTAACATTTAAAATATTTTTCACCAAAATAAAATGTTATAATTTCACTCCAGCTAAATTTCATTATTTATAATCTTCAGTCAAGAAAAAGTTCAAAAATGGTCATTTTCTCAATTGAAAATGCGATAAGCAAGACATAGATTTAGAAAATACAGCTGATGGGTTTGCTTCCATTAAAGCCAGGGGTACATATCTTCATCCAATGTAGCTTAGCATGGCACTGGTCTTTATATAAATGTTTGGTAATATATTAATTATAGAATAGATAATCAGGATTTTTAAATTATTGCATTAAGTGGTATTTATCATGGTGGCTGAATTTTTTGATATCCCCCAAATTTTGCTCATGAGGTGAGCCTCACTTCCCTGGCAACCATCCAGGCTCTTAGCATGAATGAGGTAAACAAGAATTTTCATTACTCTGAATTAGGGGGAGCATTTTTAGTCTCATTTTATCTTGAACTTTCTGGAGAGTTGCTGCAGAATTTTTCCCCCAAATATTCTCAGTACCATCTTCTTCCCTACTACCCAACAAAGGCTAAATAAGCACGGAAGGAAGATTTCTTCCTCTTCCAAATTTCTACTCCAACTGTCCCCACTTCTCTATAACCCTAGTTCTCTCCTTCACCTGCTCCCTTTCTGTATCTCCTTACCTGCTAGCCACTGGAGGAGGAAAGTATTAGTTCTCACAGAATCCTATTGCAGACAACAGAAGTAGAAACACTCAAGTATAGGTACTTCATAAAGGCAGCGTAGCAGCTGGAATTACTTTGAGACATGCTTGCTGGGGCAGAAGCTGCAAGTGCAGCCCTTCCTGGCAGGAGCAAGGCATCATTTAAATGTCTTTCCCCAGGTGACTCACTCACCAAGGGCAGAATCTCTGGCCCCAGTGGGGTTCCAAACTCACCACAGAGCAATATGCATGGATTTTCCTCAGGCACCTGGTACACTTATGTACAACTTCGTTAAGGAACATTGTTGGTCAGATTTTAGCTAAATTTTTCATCCTGATAGAGCAAGCCCATTGGGGAGAAAGGCAAGAAAGTAACATAACTGAGTATCTGACACACTCCAGAATAAGAAGGGATTTATTATGTACATTATCTAATATTTTTATTTTAGTATTTATTCTTTTTTTTCGGGGGGGAGGTAAAATAGCAAGGTTTATTAGGGAAAGGATATCCATAAGGATGGATGGGCACCTCTCCAGAGGGAGCCTGAGAGACTGGGGCGGGGGGGGGGGGTGGGAGGAAGGAGCCAGGTTACGTGGTTGAGTGCAGAGATTACACCTGGCCAGACCAGGCGGGCGACTCAGCAGAGAGGCAGAGGGCTGAGCACGCAGTCCCGTTGA